TTAAAAGTTAACTGCACTAACCCTAAAGCAAAAATTATAAACATTAGCTTTAACAATGTTAAAGCACTACACCAACACGGTATTTAGCAGAAGCTAATCCCACAGCGTTAATTCAGCCATGTTGATACCCACAACATGTGTTACAACATAGAGTATCTCCTTAAACAAGATCAAGTTTGTTATCCCACACTTACCTGAATAGTTGTGCTTCATAAAATGATTATTTGCAACAGACTTTTCCCTCTGGTTTCACAGTTTTTTGACTTGAATATTGCTAATTCTGTTTCTGATATTGGCTAGTTTACCATAGGAGGGCGAGAGGAAACAGTCTTCACCCACTTCAAAATAAGAGCATGGCTACATAAATCATTCTTAGCCACAACTTTAACATAATAGTATGCTTTATTCAACTGAAAGTTAACAAAACAACCAATCAAATTAGCGTTTAAGAATTTAATTGGGAAAATTAATTTAGGGTTAGCAAAAACGCAAAGTAAAAAATTTATAGGAAGTGTGCCGACCACTGCAGATAACTATCTGGGAGATGAACTGTTTGGAGTTGGAGGAAACCGCAACAGCCATTACAGCCTCTGTTTCACTGTGAACAAAGCAATGAGTCTGCAGTAAAGCAATAAAATAAGTAACACATTTTAAAAATTGTAATGAAACTTGGAGCTGCACAGCTTGCTGAAGGAGTGGCTGAGTTAAAATCAGAAACTACTCCAACAACAGAAATTGATCAGGAACTCCAGTACTGATGATTTAAAAATACTCTGATTGTTTCATGGAGCCGAACACCTGAGATTGGATTGTGACATCCCCCCAAAACTGTCATCACTTTCCAATAAGATTCAATCCACTTGGTTGATTTTGTTACAAATAAGCACGATTATTTTAGCTTATTTAATTTTTCACTCTGCAGCAACAGATCATCCTGTGTAACCTTAGATTTGGCTGCTTTACTGAAACAAACGCAGAGCAGTTTGTTTCCTTTAAACTGTGGCATCATGTTGCAACAACAGATCTTTCTGAAGGGAGCAGATGTTTTATCTTGTCTTATCGTGTCTTCTTCTTCCAAAGCAGCAGCCTTTGGTTTGCCATTGTTGGTGTCATTTTAGGTGATCCTACAACGTGACTTGAAAACATGACTTCCTGAGACATAGTTGGATCTTTACTTTGTGCAATGAAAGCCAAACTGTTGCTTTCTCGACGTGTTAAAAGGGCTACATTAGCTAAATATGCACCTCTTGCTTGTTAATTGTATTAAAGGCTTTTTTCGTCTATTGATGCTCACAGCAGCAGCGGTTTGGTGAGGAGATCGCCTGATGTTGTTTTCCTGCTGCTTCACACTGAGTTCAGGATGCCCTGCCTGTTTTATACTTTGCATAATTTTATAGTACAACCTCTTGGAGAATGTACAAAGTGGACTAGCTACTAACTCAGAATCTAGTTTTGTTTGCTAGCTGATTTATTGATTTACTGTGCTAAGATTGTCACCGATTAACGCTTATCCTGTATCGTATTTAAAGCAGTGCCGCACTGACGCACTAACGGGCCGGAGGAGCCTCGCTGTGTGCTTGACCTGCTGACGACACCAAGATGAATTTAAAAAATAAAAAAAGGCGATAGGCTGCATTTCTGACAGTTTTTCTTATGAAATGACTGACCGCTGACTGTCACCACTCTTTGCATGTGTTTGTGCGTCACACTCTTCTGACTGTAAAATGACTACAATCAGCACTGTACTGTAATGACAACACAAACACAGTGAACATTAGCCTCTGGTCGCAAGATGTCTGTGATACTTTATTTTACTTTTTTATTGTTTTTGTAAATAGCTACTACTTGAGGAGATACTCACGGATCAGAACTGCTGAGCCCAGAGCTGGTGGGAGTAGCCATTTTGGTCCAACACTGAACTTTTGTCACACCTTTTATACTCCACTGTTGTATTTATTGTGGTCAAAATAAAAAAAAAAAACTAAATGTTCTCTTAACTATCTGGTAAACTTCTCAATGTCTTGAAAATACAAGAGAGAAAAACAAAATTTGTTTTTCTAAACTGTTCCTTATTGTAAAATGAAGTGGCTAGCTATTGCATAAATGATCTGTCATTAAAATTAAAGTATAGCAAAAAAATATAGAAAATTGCCAGTGTGATGAAGTTAGGCCTCTCAATAACAAATTTTACTGGATAATAAATTGTCCCAGACGTCATTCTTACGTTGTTGTTGTTCAGACGTTTTTGCGATAAACGATAATATTGTTGAGACAATTTTCAGGCAATACAACGGAAAAGGCTTAATAATGCAAGAACACATTCTCTAAGATGAAAAAACTTTAAATTTTTAGTGAACATTTAACACTGGAATTGGAAGACATTTTAAATATCCAAAATAAACAACAGAAACAACAAATAAAATTAATTATGAAGTCTCTGTAAACAAAATTGTCCTTAAAAACAAGTGCTGGTTGAGACCAAAGCACCAAACTGAAGACTTTTTGTCATCCAGTTTTTGATAGAAAGAGAAAAACGACAAATCATGCATAATTATTGAACTAGTTTTAAGTTATCATGCAACTAATCAATTTATTTATTGTGACAGGCCTAGATAAAGTATACCACTGCTAAAGTTGAAAAAGGGCTTTAAAATTTGAGTTTAATTTTGATGTTACAATAAACTAAATGTTTTTGCTTATATAGCAGCATTTGTCAGATAAAAATAAATGTTTTAATTGCATAAAGAAATCCAGGATTTCAGTACTTATTTATGAACTATGAACACGTTTATGTACTGAAAATGTCTTTTTCAGTCAATCAAAATTTACCGAACTGTTTTGGGATGTAAATAAATCTGTTTTTTGAATCTCCAACCAAACCATAAAACTAGCATAAATACTCACATAATTTATAGAAATGAAATCTAAATGTTTTATTGCATACTTGAATAAATGTTTTTTAGTCTTGATGGAGAGTCGTTGTATAAATATCGACCGTAGGGAGAGAAAACTCTCTTGTCTTTAGGATTGTGCACTCGTTCCTCACTTGATTTATTTTGTCCCGTTCACTGATTTTGCAAGTCCAAACAAAATCTCTTCACTTCACGCTGAATTGTTCCTCTTATTTATTAAAAAATTGCATTTAAATACTTTAGGAAGTCGTTTCTACTGTGAAAGATCTTCTGGTCTCGATGGGGCTACGTTGACGTGCTAAAAGAGCCTTGAAGGCGACTTTTCATGTGACTGAACGGACAATAAAAAATAAAATGAAAGGATTTTATAAAACTGCTCAACGGCCCGTCAATGTTTTTGCAATAAAAGTCGAGTTTCTTTGTGGAGGAGAAGAAAAGTGAAGAGCTTTCCGTGTCTGTTTGGTGTGATGATCCGTGAGTGTCTTTCCGTTGTATAAAACATGTATAAGCATTTGTTTTCTATCACAATATTATTGTACAGTACTGCTTGTATAATTTACAGGTAAAGCATGTATTTTAAACTTTTTTAAAACCCAAACAATAAACGGTGTAAATATATACAGAAATGTAGGCAGTAATTAGGTTTGCAGTTAAACTCTAATAGCATGACAGGTAGCGGGGTTTAGTATATATATATATATATATATATGTACAGGCTGTATGATGAATCTTTATGAGGGGAAACACTTGAAAATCACCTGATATTAGACTTTGTGCTAAAGATAAGCTCTGCAATGCATTTTTGTGCCTTTTATATCAATGTATGTAATCTAGACAATCTTGAAAAAGCTTGTGTACAACCAAAATGAAAATAAAATGGTTCTGTGGCAAATGGATTGGTTGGAGTCAGATTTTTATTCTTAATTTTTCGGCACATTGTTTAATTTTTTTGTTGCTGTGAAGTTAAACTGGAATCATATTTTAAAAGAAATTCAGATTTTTTTGCCGGGGCCGTTCACACTGCCAGTAAATGCGACCTGTATGCGCTCTGCAGTGTAAACGGCCAAACGACCTGAAAGTGTCCCGCATGCGCAGTAGAGGGCGCCATAGCGTCAGCGTTCTCAGTGTTCTGCCAACCACCATGAAAAGAAGAAGTGCTCAGTGCGGAAGTAAACATGGAGGCTAACGGTGGAGCTTAGCTTGCATATTATAAGTTGTTGTCCGGCCGGAGCAGCATATTAACAACTTAATCCTCATATAATCCGTCATGGTTGGTGTTTTTCTTCCCACTTGAGCTTATCAGGACGCAGAATAGTGAGATTTGTTGAGCATCAGTGACGTTCAGTTCGGGTGAAGGCGACCTGGACGTTAGGTCGCATTTGAATCGGATACGTATCGGATATGGGTCACATTCAAAAATAATCCGACCTGTGCTGTTCACACTGCCATGAAAAGATCGGATACAGGTGGCATTACGTCAAAAAAATCGGAATTGGGTCTCTTCAGACTGCAGTGTGAACGCATCCTGATTGGTTGTTTTTGACCGGAAAGTGTTGCATTTTTGCAAATTGCTAAAGTAGCACTGGGAGGAAGTGGAAGAACTTTATTTATTTATCAGATTACTTGTCTCCAATGACAGTTTTAACAAAATATGTTTTTATTCACAATAAAGAATTATATTGACTTGGAAATCTGCTCACTCCTCAGCGGCTTTAGTCCGGCTGAAGGAAGGATGTCATGTCTCTTTTAAAACTACAAAACATCTGCCATCAATCAATCAGTTACTGGAACTCCTTGAAAACAATTACACCAGACTGAATAAAAGCATTATGTGTTTTCTAGTCACAAAATATACACAATAATATGTCCATCTAACTTCTGAAATGTGTTTGTGGAGCCCTCACATCAATAGTCCATCGATCCGAACAACAATATCCCTCAGTGCTGAGGCATCTTATGCTGTTTTGGTTGAGCAAAGTAGGAGGGACGACCGCTCCAAGATGGCCGCCGTATTTCCTGCACCGGAGCAGCCAATGCACGGTTTACTCATATATTATGTAATAAAATATTGTTTTGTCCTTTTTGCAGGTCTTGTCGCCCACGGAGCAGAACATCCCGTCTCCGTCATCTCCAGACTATCGAACAAAAGCTCAGGGTGATGAGATGGAGCACTTCCACATCCTTCCTCAGCTGCAAGCCAAGAGGGCCGACTTTCTCACCGTCATGCTGACCGGTACACTGCCTCAGCGCAGGAGCTTCGCCACGCCCGACGAAGAGGTACCAGAACCTCCTGGGCCGAAGGACGACGACGTCACAAAGAGCGAGTCCAACAGCGAGGCGAGTCAGAAAAGCACCGAGCGCAGCCAGGATGCTGCACCTTCAACACTGATGGCGGAGGACCAGAGGGGCCCGAGGGAGCACGCTTCGGCTGCTGATGCAGACCCGGATCTGGAGGACGCATCCAAAACTCTGGTTCTGTTCTCGCCCGGAGACACTCGCAAGTCTCCCTGTGGCGGGGAAGCTGTCCTGGAGGGGGAACTGGCCACGCCAAATGCTCTAAATTCTCGTAATGACCGCTTACTGACCGGGGAGGGGATTCAGCCTGAACTGTCCGAGACGGGCCGCCTGTCACCGGCCCTCCGCTCAGAACTGAGACCTTCCACTCCCATCGCTCCTGGGTCACCGCCCTTTACCAAAGTCGAGCGCACTTTCATTCACATCGCAGAGACGTCACACCTCAACGTCATGTCGTCCAACGGTCACTCTGCGAAGGAGAGTGACCGGGAAGTCTTAACCGCCACGAGGGAATCGGCTGCAGACGTTGACAGCCAGGAGCAGGAAGTTGCATCATTGTTGAAAGAGACCGGAGGGGAGAGTGTGCCGGACCAAACCAGTACAGAGGCTAAGCAACCAAAAACCGAAAACGGCCCGTCAGCCGTCTTTCCCGTGTCCATGGACTCCTCCTCTAAAGGCACCTCACCGGTTTACGATCGTAAAGATCCGTCCCAAGAAGCGAAGAAGCAGCTATCGTCCAGCGAGGAAGCTGTAAAGCTCCACCCTGCTGGGTCAGAACCGTTGGTGAGCGCCAAGCCCAGAATCCGGAGCAGAATCCCAATCCTAATCTCTGAAGAGGACTCGGGCTCAGAGCAGTCCTCCTCCCTCTCGGCCCGATTTCGGCTCCAGCAGCGCGCCCGGCAGCTGGACCTGGCGCGCCTGCTGGTTCAGAAGCAACATGGCCGCTGGATGAGGAGGAGGATGCTGTCCGGCACGTCTTCATCGCTGTCATCAGGGGACGACGAGCGCTGGAGGGCGTCGGAGACTTTATCCACGACGGGGTCGGAGGAGGACGTGCATGTCTCGGACGAGTCCAGGAGGAGTTCGCGTCTCAAACCGACTGAAGAGCAAGGCTCCAAAGACTGCAGGAGCAAAATCCCTCGACCTGTCCCCCCCATAAAAAGACCACCAGGGGGCGCCGCTGCTGCTGCTTCTCCGCTCTCTTTGCCAGATGCCAAAAATACAAAAGGAGCTTCATCTGTCATCAATGGGTAAGCCTGTTTTTATTTATATATGGCACCTTTTAGCTAAAGGTAATTATGTACATAATGATAAAAACAACACACAATAGCTTAAAAATGTAATAAATATTAACTATAATAATTAAAAACCTGGGTTTTTAAACTAGTTTTAAAAAATATTTAAGGTTTGACTGTTCCTGCCGCAAACAGGTTTATTTATATAAAAACAGGTTGAAACTGCACCAGCGCACTGACACATAAAAATAATAGAGTATAATAAAACTAGAAAATTCCTGCAGAAATTTTAAGGGGCCTGCCCAGTGTGCCCACCACTTTAACCCCAGCATTTCAAA